TGTTAGCGACACTTAAACTTTTAAATTGTTGATAATTCTGCAACTATTTAGCGACATTTAAACTTTTAAATTGTTGATAATTCTACAACTATTGCATGCAGATTGACAAAACTCATAAAAACCTTATCCGAAACATAAGAACAACACAATTCAATGGCTTTTAAAGCAAAAATTGAACAGTTTACTAACATGTAAGAATAAAAATCTGGACTCACCGAGCCAGGAAACACATTAACAATTAATATATATATGTTTAATGCGGCCGATTACAACGAAAAACCGAGGTGCACAACTACATATTATAACAGTCTCTTATACAAAATTTTAACTTTGTACGGGTATTTGTTTTTTAGTTAACGATGCATATGCATATATACGTACGTCCGTGGGAGGGGGGCGGGTACTGACGTCTTGTAAAATCTCTCCTGAATCCATTTTACAATCCGTTTTGGAAAAAATAGTACTTTTTTCCGTCCATATGTACAGATGTCACTCAAAAAAAGTCATTTACATGGTTTCGAGAGCGGTCAAGATGGCTTATTTTCGTTGAAATATGATAACCGAAATTTTTCACGATTATAATTTTTCCTTCACTTGGTACGTAGTGATTAGTTTCCTTAGCTGCTCCAATTACATAGTAACATTTAGAATCAAACAAAACACATTAACTTATGTTTTAATCCCTGGGGCTGTAAATCAATTGTTCTATTTACTTTTACATTCAAGGAAGGGGGGGAAACGCGAAATATTTCCTTCGATGCTTCCATTTTCCGATAAAGTATTTCACTTTCTTAAACTATAGAAAAATCAGTTTTCAATTTATTACAGATGCTGTCTAATTTAATGTTTGTTTATAGCTTTATCGCTTTATTTTGATTGATTCATTAAAAACAGAAAATCAGTTGAAACGAAATTCCTATTATATATTTAAATATATTTAATTACACGCAACTTAAATTCTACTAATGAAGGCATTGGAAGAGAAGAACACCAATACGAAATTTAAATTTAGACAAAGGCTTTCGCCAGAATTAAATAAACTTATGGACATTGCATTTTCTTCTTTAAAAAAAAAAAAAAAAAAAAAAAAGAAGAAGAAGAAGAAGAAAGAAACAAGTATAATGTTTAAAAATTCCTAGATGAAAATTAGCAAGTAAAAGAAACACATATATTAAAAAAGCCTCTTAACTTAAAAGGTTAAAAAAAAAGTATGAAAATGTTTTTCATATATTTTACTTTTATCAAAATGGAAAATATAATTAACTTCCGCTAAAGCTAATGCTTAAAGATGAAGATTATATTGATCTATTGCATTCATGTAAAAAGTACGCTTTGCGAATTATAGATACAAAAGATTATTTCTTATTCCAGTGTTACTTTATTGTAATATTTTTAAATTATGATTAAATGGAATATATAAACATTAAAGAAAATTTTCCTCTTTTCTTTATATTATTTTTTTTACTTTTAGAATTTTAACTTTTTAAATATCATCTCTTCACCATATATCAAAATTTTAAAAATATTTATATATATTCTACCTCAAAGGTTTCAGATTTCAGATTTTAAATTACATCCAAAAAGGCGTTTTTTTAACATTTATGTGTTTCCTTTATTTATTAAATATCATGTTCTTTGCACTTAAACCTTCGCACTTAAATTTAAAATCTGAACCTTCGAAAGGTTTCACATTTTAAATTGCATCCAAAAGGGCGTTTTTTTAACATTTATGTGTTTCATTTATTTATTAAATATCATGTTCGTCGCACTTAAACCATAAAATTCACTTGAAGATCACTATCGCAAAATAATTTTAACTTGAGAACAGTTTTAACTTTAGAATTTCCGATACATAGAATTCACAGTTCTTGAGTTTGTTAAAATTCGTTAAAGTTTTACAAAATATGAAATCGATAAAAAAAATTCCAAATTTCAAATTCTGACTTCCACATGCCCTTATTCACAGTAAGATTAACTGATAAAGTGACAAATTACAGTAAAATGGCTTAATATTTGAATTTCCTGCACTTGTTCCATTACAGAGTTTATTCATTTGTTTTTTGATAATTTCCTTTAGTTGCATGCACTAAAAAGGAACAAAGCAATCATACAAAACACTGATTCCGAAATTCTGACATTCAACTCAACTCAAATTTTGTTTTTATTTTGTTTTGTCTAATTCCTTTGTCATTAAGTCATTTGATAAATTATTTTGATATTTGTTAGTTTATGTGTTTCCTTGTATGTAAAAATTTATCTGTAAAGTAAAACAGAAACAGGAGGAAAAGGAAACAAGAGTTTATAAAAGACTACCAGCTGTGTCTACTGGATTGTTTTTAACAAGAAAAACAGACATAAATAACATAAATAACTTGTACACTTAAAACACACATTACTGTATCAATCAGGCTTACATCCTACAATTTCTTCATAGATGTTCTTCTAGTCTTTTTTAGGATTACCTCGTATGAATGTAAATAAAATTTGAAAGAGAATAACTGTGAAAGTAAATTTAGCAATTGCAATTTTCTTATATCTTAATAATGCTCTTGCACAGATGAATCTAATTTTAAAAAGGGCCTTCACTTTTTAATTTAACTTCTTTTATGTTATGAATAAATTAAAGAAATTGGAGTACAATTATTCAGTATTAATATAGCCAGTACGTAAATCCTGATAAAGTAACAAATTACAGATCTTCCTCGTTGCAATGTATGTGTGTCCAGACTAAAACTGCATTATTACGGCATTCCAGTCATAATGAAAGTTAAAATGCTTAGCAATGAAAAAAATACGATACAAACAAATAAAATAATAAGTAATTAAAAAAATATGAAAAATTTCAGATTTTATACAGCACCCAAAGGGGCGTTTTTTTAATATTTTGTGTGTTACCTTTATTTATTAAATATCATGTTCTTCGCACTTAAACCATAAAATTCAATTCAACAGCAATATCGCAAAATATTTTTAAATGTTTAGCATTTCTGATACGCAGTCTCGCACGCTGGAGATAAAAATGTTCTTTTTTGGTACAGTGTTGCCATTGCTCGATTTGAAATCGTTTAGTTTTTTAATCAAAAATTCGTTGAAGTGTTACAAAATATGAAATCGATAATAATTCATGCGGCCTAGCCTACAAAGAGACATTTGTAATCTAGTTTTTCTTTTCTTTGCATAATGGTAAATTATGTTACTAGGGGGCCTGTATCTATAAAAGCTAGCAAATTGCCAACTCTATGAGATGAAATCATTTCCCACTGTAAAAAGTTTAGTTTATATTTCAAATTAAAAATATATTTTGCTTACCATGCAGAGAAATTTCAAAGAAATATATACACTGTAGTCTGAATGTATGTATGTATTCAAAATAATGTGTACACTGCGCAAATCTGCAGAAAAGTGGTATGTATGCCAAGGGATCTTTTTATCAACCTCTTCCAACAAGTTGTATTTAAGATGGCATCCCCTATATTTCCAGCGGATTGGTACAGTTTAAATTCTTTCAGTAAGCAGTAAGCGTAATATATCTTTGACAAAATTTATACAAAAATACAGAACTCTCTTTTTTAAACATCACAAGTAATGTTGAAAATTTGAGTTATTTTGTAATGTCGGAGAAAAATGTATGATGTTTGCATTCTGCACTTTTAATAAATACTTCCGTATTTATTAGGCAGTTTTTCTCATCTTATGCTCCCCGTGCAATTTTTAAATTGTTGCATTCTGCATTCTGCACTTTTAATAAATACTTTCGTATTTATTAGGCAGTTTTTCTCATCTTCCCCGTGCAGTTTTTGAATTTATTATATTATAGTTATTATTATTTAAATTAACCGCATTTAATACCACTGCTGTTTCTCGAGCTAAAGGTATTCGGTCATTATTCGAACTAATAGCGTAATCAACTATTACAACTAACATGTAATTTCAGTTTGTACTTCCTTTTAATTTATTTATTTGTTCTGAGAACTAGAACACATTATTCAAGGGGATAGAACACAACATACGTAAGCCTAACTATACAAATCCCTTTTATTCAAAGTGAGAATTAGAATGGAGGTTATAAAAATAAAAAAAAGAAAAAAGAAAAAGAAAATCTGAAAGGTTTCAGATTTTAAATTACATCCAAAAGGGCGTTTCGTTTTAACATTTATGTGTTTCCTTTATTTATTAAATATCATGTTCTTCGAACTTAAACCATAAAATTCAGTTGAAGATCAATATCGCAAAATAATTTTAAATTGAGCGTATCTTTAGAATTTCCGATACACAGTCACACATGTTGGAGATAAAAATGTTTTTTGTGAAGTTGCCATTGCTCGCTTTTAAATTCTTGAGTTTGTTAACAATTTGTTAAAGTTTTACAAAATATGAAATCGATAATAAAACAAATTTCAAATTTGGGCTTCCACATGCCCTTATTCGCACTAGGATTATGTCATTCGAAATTTGATTGCTCTAGGTATCGCTGTTTGATCACAGTGCGAGAAACATACATACATTTATGCAGATTCTTCAATATTCAATTTCTTCAAATATAATACAGGGCGAGAATATTTGGTGGCAACAGTTTGAAAAGTGAAACGGACAATCAGAGTGATTCAGCGCAAAATCGCAAAATGAAAACAGTAGTCCCTCAGGGACAAAGCATCTTTGGACTAAAAAAACAAAATTGACTAAGTTTTTTTTTTTTTTTTTAGAATTCTTTTCATTTTGAGTATATATACAAATACATAAACTAAGTATATAAAACGACACAAAGAATCAAGCCATGCAAAGCAGATGAATAAAAACTGAGAAGAAAAATTTAATTACATGTAGCATTGTTCTCCTTAAAATTAAAATTACACATTTTTCAAAATATTTTACGTTATTTCTCAAAGGTAATGTAATGCAAAATGTACGTCTAATATTCAAATTTTCAACCAGTAAAATTTAAATGTTCTTGTCTATATTACTAAATGTAAGAATATTTATTAATTAATAAGATTACTTACCGTGTAGACCAATTTTATTTCAGTAAGATTATCATTACATCGTTTCCATTTGAGAGAGATTCAATTTCTAAATCATCATGATAAAATAGTTCCAGTCCAGTGTAACACTCCAGTGAAAGTTGGAAGAGCAAATGAAGAACAGAACTTGTATACTTCATTTTTAAACCCGACTGCGACGCTTTTCGCTTCAAAGAGCAGATGAGATATCGTCTGCTGTGACGTAACAAGTATACGAGCGCTTCTTTCCATGAAAGACTTGCTAACGCGGAACTTCAAAGCGGCAAATATGATTGCCTGAAGAGTCTTAAGGGAAAGTCTTCAGACAAATACTAAGTTAACAGCAATGAATTACCTACTTTGAAAAAAACTTCCAGTTTTTTATTATTTTTTAAATTTATTTTTTCCATTTTTATGAGAATTGCTTTTGCAATCATAAACTGTTCTAATTCGCCATTGCTTCAAGGCTTCTTTTTTTAAAAAAAATGGCAACGGATTTCATTATATTTTTGTTCATGCTTGAAATATTTAATTAATAACTTATTACTACAAATAAACAAACACTTAGGTTTTAGATTCTAATACTCTTAATATATTGCGCCTTTGACTTGCGGATATATTGCAACTTCTATACGAGCACACAAATGTTAACTCTCTTAAAATGAAAACAATTCCTTCTTTCTGCAAAACTTTCATTTCAGGTGTAAAAACGTGTACTGAAAAAATGCTTTCATTATTAATAAGATTTAAGAGAATTTCAATTTTATTCAATGTACTATAAGATTTTTAAAGATCTTTAATGTTATCATTGAGACCCAAATATTTTTGAAAGTAAGAATGTTTTATTGAAATATCATTTTTCATATTCTTCACACTATATGACTTATAAAAATGTGCACTTTTTTCACTTTCAAGGATTTATAATATTCCACACCTATGGGCTTTATTTTTTTCCTATTTTTTTTCACGAAGTCCTTTTAGTACTTCAATGTAGTAGTACTGATTAACAGTCTGACCACTGGGAACCCATTCAATCATGATGAACGTACTGGGCGCTCCTCCTGAAAACGCTTATGCCATTCAAACACCCGTGCATGAGAACAGAGTTTCATTTCCATACGCCACGGTTAACATTTGAAATGTTTCGTCCGTGGCTGATTTCTGAAGTTTCACGAGAAACTTGATGTTGATTCGATGTTCGGTTTTTACATTAGACATTTTTCTCGTATAATGTTGCACGTGTTCATTCAATGACGCAGTACTCCTCACTCGCGTGGTCGGTTAAGTCGAAACTGGCCGCATGGATAGAGGAGGTGTGTGGCATGATGTCACCAAAACAGTTGTTGCCAACGCCACTTTGTTTTCAAGCTACACAGTCTCGTTTTCTTGTGTGTGTGTGTTTCTTGTTTCCTCGTATATTCACCAATATGAATGCTACACAGTCTCGTTTTCTTGTGTGTGTTTCTTGTTTCCTCGTATATTCACCAATATGAATCCGAAATTTCTGACGTAGCTACGCTAAAGTTGGAGCAACTCCTGCGTGTTGAACGTTGTTATGTTCTCTCTATTCAGTAAATTCGAATCTTTAGGAAGAAGAACTCGATGTTTTTCGTCAATTGTATATTCAGTTTCTTCTTAATCTTCCTTTAATTTGAGGAATTTGATTTTCTTCAAGAAACGGTGCCAAGCTAAATGAACTCACAATACTAGAATTGAGAAATTTGATTTATCAGATTGAAGTGCCTTAATTACAGGGGTGAAGAGATCCATCTGAGGTTTTTGCGAAGGCAAAATATTTCAACGTCTTGGATTTCAGAAGTGCTTAATGGACCACTACGTAGGGAAAGGTTGCTATCGATGGACTACTTTTACACAATGATCCTTAAAATCGTCAAATTTGGCAATTTTACAGTTTTGTAAACGTTAGTGTAAATATTACTTTACATATTACACATACCTAGGAATAGACGTTATAATTATGAAATATTCAGCAAGTATTAGAAAAAAAAAGTAGGTGTCACTGGCCCAATAAATGAAACCGTCGCCTGCACTGAGAAAGCTTCTATAAATGGATCGGTAGCTATTTTCTTTTTAATGCAGTATCATCTTAATAAAAGTCAATAAAATGTTTCAAACGATTTTGAGCTTGATTCTTAAATATAAAATGCTGGTTAGAAACTAACACGGACCAATGAAAATAACATTGAAACGTATTGATAGCTTCGCATTATTCACAAAGAATCAGGAGTTGGATTTTAGTTTAGTCTTTGTAATCATAAAATAGGCCTAATATGAGAATCTACGAAATAACATTGAATCTCCTTTATTGGAAAAAAAAAATAGCGAAAATGAAAATTTGAGGGTAATTTATAGCTAGCTAGCTAATTATAGCTAGCTAGCATTATTTATCAATGCTTTGTGAGGAATTTAATAACCTGATTTGAGATTTTTATTTTGATAAATTCAAAAATTCCGTCTTGCAGCTGTTCTAAAATTATTTTTGTATATTCTTATAAAATGCATCTCTCAAAATCTTAAAATGCTTCTTTGCAATTTGAAAATTATTATAAGACATATTAATTATATAATTAGTATAAAAAGAACAATAACCATAACTTGAAAACTTTCAAATAGCAAAAATAGTAATTAAGCCTACTATTCATATTAGGCTATAAATCTTACACAAATTACTGCATCAATTATTCGTTTTTGATGAGTCCAGTTGCATTCTTCGCAATAATACATTTTGATACCCTTTCTGACACCAGCACACTTCTCATGAACCACACTTTATATGATAGACATTGAATCATATCTTCCTTGAAGTCTTCACAACAGATCGCACAGAACCATGAATCGTCGTTGGAATTCATAGGCGTATTTACTGAAGGCAATGAAAGTTTAGCAATTACTGTCTTCTCCGGTCCAGAAGTTAGGAGTTGTCTTTTCATAGCGGTGCCTCTTCTTCCTCTTGTTTTTTTTTCAACCTTTTCCAGGAACTGTCTGTATGGACTACTTGTTATCAGTATTACTTTTTGTGCTTTGTTTGAGTTTTTTCCAATTGAGAATTTAGAGGGAATCGGAGAGATTTTACTCAAAAAAACTTAACTTTTGACAATAATGTTGATGCACTAACTGGAAGCGGTTCTGTTTCTATTCCACTGGTGGTTGCAACAGAGTTTTCTCCCTGGAGCCTGCATGTCATTGCGACATTTCACTTATAGAAGCATTTAGGCTTGTGTCAGGAACATCTACAATAAGAACATCATTTGTTTCAAACTGCACTGTTGCAACAAAATGAGAGTCTTTAAAGACTACCTCTCTGTTAACTTGCCAAACTCCCGTTTTAGCAAAGCATTCATTGCCATTCGTACTGTTGCTGGTTGTCCATATGCTTTCCCAAACAATCCTGCTATATGGAGCTGGGTGACAACTTTTAATTTCCATTCTCTCCGTCCGTGTCGTAGAAATTTCTCCATTTCATTGATGTAATAACGTTTAATTAATGCGACTGATCTGCATTTTATTCTACAACTAAAAAAGTTACAAAACATTAGTTTCGATCTGGTTTCCATGGTTGGACCACCAGCTCATTCATAGCAACGCGGGTGGCTCACTGAAAGCAACTAGCAGTCGGCATGCAGTACACCCGTGATTTCGGTTATAATACAGTAAATAATCATTGTTAACATAGATAAATAACTCTGATTTAACGCAGTTTTAAATGTTATCAGTAATAACTAAAACATTATTAACGACTTCAGATGTCTACAATTTCTTTACATTGATAAATCAGAAGGAAAAGTACAAAAATCTTACTTTCTTATATAGCAGCCTTGTTTGGGCGTTGATCACCTCCCTGTCAAGATGTCGATTTTGAACTTCATGTAGTATATTAAGCAGTAATCATGTACCGTCTACAGACCAATAACTAGAAAATAATGGACGTGGCTCAACGAAGGAGCCAGCCTTACCCTATTAATAAACTTGTATAACTGTAACGTGTATAATTACCAATAGTATTCGTTGCATGATCAGTGAAATTAATAAGACTGGAGTAGCTGATTTTACTGATATCAGCATTAACTGCACCACTGTTCAAATTTTATCAATGATTAATATAAAATTTATCAATAACTAATGTATTTCATTTTTAGATTACACTTCGAAATAGTACGATCTATATAAGCGAAACAAAATTAAATTATGATGTAAAAAATCTGATGTGTACACCACATGATGACTTCCTTATTATATTAAATTATACGTATTTTTTCTTGCATTTCATTTAAACTTATTGGATTGAATTAAATCTACTTCGCTGACACCGCATAAACGACAATAGAATAAATCCATTCTTTAAAATTCATTCTACTATGTGTTTACCATAGCGACACTCTGGCGCTAGATTCACTTGACAGTATTATATTTCGTTCATATTATAATTCATAATGCACAAAATTTATATCATTTATAAAGAACAGAATTATCTAATCGTTGCCACATGTTCTATTCAAATACTAATGTATAAAATAAATTAAGTATAATGTATAAAATGTGTATAAATGATGTATAAAAGAAATTAAGAAAAAAAAAAAAAATCCAGTTTTTCACAGACGATTGAATATTTTTCATTCAATTAATTCAGTTCTCACTTCGCGAGAAGGCAAAAATACATAAAAACTCAAAATATCTATATGAAAAATTACGAAGTAAATCTTAAACACTTATTTCCTCGAAAAAATTCCACAAAGGATTACACTTGATTTAATTGGCAATAATAAATGCAAGCGTTATCTTTGTTGTTGCGAAGCTAAGTTTCTCTAGATTGGCAACAAATCCACTAGTTTGCTGTTTCAAACGTAAATAATCAATGGCCGCCATGAAAATAAAGGCTTAGCGGCACTTCAACAACTTTAAAATTGTTGATAATTCTAAAAATATTGTATACAGATTTACTAAAGGCATAAAAGCCTTAACCGGAAGATAAAAACAACATAATTCAATAATTTTTATAGCAAAAAATGTACAATTTACAAACATATAAGAGTAAAGAAACTGAGATCACTGAGCCGGGTAACAGAGTGGATATATATATAAATATATTTATTAACGTTTGGTGCCGCCGATTGCAACCAAAATACGAGGTGCACATCAACATGTT